ACGATTTGATACCCTTATTTTTTTTTTCCACTAGTTTCACGTTTTTTTTTTCTGATGCTTCTAATTTCAAAATTTTTAGCCTTAAACACTTCAACACTCTCCTTCGGATCGTGTTTCACAAAATATGTTTAACAGCACATTATAAAAATTAGTACTATACGACTCGATGCATCGTCGTTTCCTCTTTGCACCGGCGAAAAGCGTAGTCCTCTATCTTATGCCTATGAAAAGTTATTCAAAAAATACTCATGGGTGCTCATGCTACCAGCACATACTCGACGCAAACACATTGTATTGAAATTTTATTATTATTATATCAGATAAGCGGTTATCAAATAACATAGAAAAATAGAGTGAAACACGCTCTATCTATTGGTAAAAAAAGAAAGTTTTTTTATACTTTTGTTTAAGGAAAAAAAGTACCTGCCCAGGTGATTCAATCCGACTGGCGGATCGTGTCGGATTATATACAATTACATCGGAAAAATGACTGGATTTTATCGGATCCGATGGGAATCCGTCGGAGTTTGCTGGCGTCCTAACCACAGGATTCCGATCGGCGGTTCTGAATGCCGGAATGATCACGATACTGCGGAATTCTGGAGAATCCGACACTTTCCAACATCTGGAGCCGCCTGTCGGAATCCTGTGGTTAGATTTCCGGGAACTTCCGACGAATTCCCCATCGGATCCGATGGGCTGAGTTTGACCTGGGTGGCTCACTACTTTTGGTATGCCTTAAGTCAAGGGGGGAAAAGCGATTTGTGAGTTTTGACAAGTTTCGTGAGTTAGAATGAGTTAGAGAAAATGAAAAGTCGTCGGGAAATAAAGATAACGCAGAGCCATACGGAACTACGCATACACACTCAAATAGATCGAAACTCATCCTAACTCATAAAAGATCAACTCATTTGTGATGGTTTTTGAGTGAGTTTGGAGTGATTTAACTCAGCTTTTCCCTCCTTGCCCTAAGTAGTTAAGATCAAAACTGACGACTGAGACATATTTTCCACCTCAGACGATATTTCCTAATGGTGTCCTTGAACTCTTGCATGTACAATTTGGATGGCATCACAAAGACCAGAAAGGTGACCATCGGTGGACTGAAGGCAAGGAAATATCCAGCAAAGAACAGCCATGACAACTGAGCTGATCTCAGACAACCAGAGACCAGAGCGATGATCAAACGAGGAACAGTCAGAATGATCAACACCACTGGAGCGACAAGTACGTGTCGATGGTTGCGCAGTTGATAACGGAGATGAACGTGATAAGGTTGCTGATTTTGTGCCATACCGCGTTGTCGAGTGGTGGCGACGATGATAATCAGAACAGAAATGAAGCTGATAAAGAATGGTGTCAAGGTGTGAAAAGCTTGGATCACTCGATCGAAGGTCTGCAGGAATGGTGGATATCGAGTGATACACCAGATTCTCCCTCTCTCGTCTCCACCATTGTCACTGTCATTGTCTATCAATAAGAATCGATGGAAAGGATCATGAATGTCACTAACAACAGTAAACAGCAGCAGAATGATGATCATTCGTTTAGCAATTTTCGTGCTCTTCTTCTTGTTAAAACCCGTTCCAGAAATGGTCGTCATCGCTCGTTCGCTGGCTACACAGGCATTCAACCATTGTTCCATGTAAAGTGACAATCGAACAAGAAACTCCATCAAAGAACATTGTACTCTCAGAAACGACTGATTTTGGATGGTGCCCGTTTGTGCACTAACTAGTATCCCGAATTTTAAAGCGAACGCTGTTACTGTCAAAAGAGTGGTGACTGAAGAAACGAGCAGGTAAATTCCGCATCCCACTTCTCTTAACTTCTTGCTCTGAAATGTGATCAAGCAAAGAATACCATTGACCACACCTGCGACAGTCATGATTATCGTCAAAGCCAATCCGATTTTCACCGCCATGGGCTGATCAGTGAGACTGATGCCCGGGAGAATGTGGTAACCGAGAATGGCATCCAGCGTCAGACTGAAAGCATCGGTTCTGAACTGACACAATCTCCCATAGAAACATTTCTTACAATCACAAATCGATGTTTGAGCACACTTCGGAGCATCTTGAAAACAATCTGCACCATTTTCACAGCCATTCTGACCTGCACAATCCATCTTCAACTGATGATCGAATTCAAAGCAGTTTGCTACACGTTGATGACCGAAAGATTGACATAGACACAGATGAAATTCGTCATAGAAACAGGAAAGATTTCGTGATAACTGTTGACAAGGAACATGGTAGTATTTAATTCGACGAATTAGCTGATGTTCAGCGATGGTTCTGTTGAACAGTTTACTGACATGTGGACATCGATCTGATGGATGAATCTGATGCTTCAGTTGTGCTGATCGTTCATTATTCAGCTGAACAGCTGTCAAGTAATAATCGTGTTTCGGAAATTCAATAAAAATCAAGTGAAATGGGTGAGACCAGTAGATCGTCACTGACTCTTTGTTGATGGAAATTGTTTTCAATGTTGTTGTTCGGACTGGCGGAGCTTCGTTCATCACTCGAATGAAATGAATGAGCATTGCTTGAGAAGGAGAAATATCAGGATGAAAGGAGATGGTGATATTCGTGTCAGATATTGCACATCTATCTCCTGAGGAACCTTTGGGACAAATGCAAGTGTATCTCTTTTCTGAATGATCGTGTTGATCATCAGGAATACATTGCCCATTATTCTCACAGAGATTCATTTTCTGTGCTTGACACACCGAAGTGGTGAGAAGACATCGACGACCGAATCGACCGAGAGGACATAGACAAATTGGTTGATCATTGACAGACAGGCCGAGACAGAGGGCATCTTTAGAACAGGTACAGTTGTGTTGAATGGTACAATGAGCACCTGACCAGCCTTGTTCACATCGACAAAAGGTTGTCCTCTGCAGTGTATTGACATACTCGATACATTGACCATAATGGCATTGTCGATCAGAACAAGTGATGTATCCTCCAATACTTCGTGGAATAATCAGATGAGCAGCCATCCGTTGGACGGGTAGAAATGGAAAAGGAATCGATAAAAACCAGCTGCCTCGATAGTTTCGTGTTCTTTTCTCAAAAATATCGATGTGAATCGAATAGGTTTTGGAACCATTTTTTGGCCGAGTGGAATAGAAAAGATAAAAGTGAAACTTCTTGTGACAATCTCGAACAGGAAGATAAGAAAACTGTTGAAAAGAATGAACAGGACGTTCATCGCTCTGATCAATGAGTGTGGCAATCACTGTAAATACTGTTTGCCAAGAATCAGAAAGCGATTGAAACTGCAGAGAAAGCGAGATGCGTTGATTTTGATATTCGCACGAAGGACCATAGAAACTAGGTGGACAAAGGCATTGAATTGTTGAGCGATTCTCTGTTGAGTTGAGCCACAAACGAAGAGGAAAGCCACGGTGACACGATTGATCGAAGGGATATCTCGTCGATGGAGGCAGGGTGAAAACGTTCGTCGAATGGAGTGTTGGAAGATACTCCAATGAATGTGATACTTTCTCCAGTGAGAAATAAATAATCTTTAATTTGGATTTGACAGTTGAATGTTGACAAACAAATTCTTTTATTGAACTGTTCGACAATCTTTGGCTTTCAGCAGGACAAATAGTTCCCCAAACTCCGCACCATGGCTTCAGATCTTGGTATTTTCCTTCGCTTGGGCAACAAAACGCGTCAAACGCACAGGCTGACGAAAGCGGTAGACAATAAGCACACATCTTGTAAATACAGAGAAAAGAATGAGTGTGTGAGAAATGGCTATCAGCTGATCGACAAAAAAAGGGTTCATCAGTCCCACCGAGACAATCCATATGTCCATCATTGGCTCTGTCAATTGGCAAACACACCAATTGATCTGTTTCACTTGAGAGACAGATATGATGATCAATGGGACAAGGGATTAGTGGTGATGGATCACAGTGAATTTCGTCAGCTCCATTGGGACAATTCCAATAACCATCACATCGTGTGTAAGCGTTGTTACACGGCCAATGTTCACATACGGTTTCATCAGTGTGAAAGTCTCCATCGATGTTGATCAGATCTAGTTCAACAAATCCATCACAGATGGTCGGAAAGGAGATATGTTCACTGGGGAGCTGAGCGCTGAAATATTCATCTTCACATGAAGTTAAGTATACATAATCGGGACAATTACAACGACCATTTTGAAAAAAAGAGTATGGAATACAAGTGTTAGTGCGACGACACAGAAAAAGTTTCTCGGACGTCTGAGAAGAACAGTTGACCGCAGGAACACCTTTGTCGATTGACTCATCGTCCTGTAGATAGCAATCGAAGACGCCATCTTTCAGACGATATCGGGAAATACATCGGGAGGAGTTCCGGCATTTGTACATCTTCCATTTCTCACAAAGGTCAGAAGCTCGATCGACAACGATGTGACATTTGGAATGTGCATAAAACAAAGACGCTAGTCTATTATATGTTGGTTCGGAATAGATCTCTTTATCCTTGGAGTTCAATGTGTACTTATCATAACATCTGGCCTTTCCAAATGGCGAGAGATATTTCGGAGTCAGTGATGAATTGCACGATTGTTTGGGAACACAGATGTATTCCGAGAGTCTTCCTGAAATGGAGGAATTTTCCCAAGAATCTCGGACAAATAAGATGTGGAAATAGCCAAAGGCACTGGGATTCGTAGGCATGGAGAAGAAACGATTGGACAATGTCTTCTCGAATACGTCCAAGCAGGTAAGAGAAAGACAGTCGCTCGAACATTCCTCTTCATACGGACTGGGATACCCAAGAGCAAAGCAACATACCATTTTCCCCCAACAGTTCTCGGATATCCAAGTTGGTTTGAAGAATGCGATGTTCCAGATCAGTTCCAGACGTTTCTTCGTACATGAGCTACTTATCACGAATGAAGGACTAATGTGATCAGACAGAAGCTCACATCTCACATCTTCACATTGCAATGTTGGTTCACTCACTTGACAATAGTCTCGCAAGAACTGAAAGTGAAATGGAGTCTCTCCTTCTTTTACCTTCTCAATATCTTTAGTGCGCAGATCTTTATCTGAACCATCCAAACAATACCAAATTCGACCATCTCGAAAAAATTCCCGATCAATACATTGTCCATTGGCACATCGGTATTCCTTCTCTTCACATTCGTTGATCTCCAGTTGCCAACAATGTTCTTCATCTTCTTCACCATCAATGCAATTCACTCTTCCATCGCAGATTTCAGTCCAATCGAGACATACTGGAGGTGTTCCACGATTGCAAGGCAAGTGTTCATAGCAGGTGAATGTGGAAGGAAGATATGGAACAGCATAGAAATCCCTGATCAGTTGATGCAATGAGGAGTAGCCAAATTCAGATCCATCGATCGAATATTCACATTCTGAACCAAACTTCGGCCATGTACAGTTGTAGAAATAGTTTGAATCCATCACTCGTGCAGCCGAAGTGGAGTACTGATCGAGGTAAAATTGATAATCTTCAGCGACATCGGTTGGTGCAGACCACAGATACAACTGTTCACTTGTGATGTTCTGTCTTTGCAAATCTTTAAACTTTAGCCTCTGATGATCATGATCATCATTCGTAGGCAGCTCGATCATCGTTGGTTTTTCAGTGATACAAAAGGGAATGGTTTGATTGATAGTATGATTGTGAAAATACAGACAATGATGATAAGTGGTAAGATCACTATTTCCATTCGTTCGAAGATCAGTGAAAGCGAGATTCACTTGAAACGAACTCACGGATGAGATTAGAAAAATCAGATAGCTCAGTGTTATCTGTTTACCTCTCATCGTCTTTCGCGTTGACAATTCGAATAATCGAAAGTATCAACTTGAGTATTGTGTGATCAAATTTGCCGATGATAGTAGGCAGTATAATTATCTCCCTGTATTTGATTTCGTTTGACGAGAAGATCTGCGCTGTTCAACCAATGATAGTGAGTTTCATGGAACACACACGTCGAGGAATATCGAGAGAGACTTTCTCTGACATACGAGACACAACTTGTGGGGATGTTTGAACAAAATTTTTTCCCGAACGTGACAGATCTCAACTTTCCTTTCTCTGATGTAAAAAAAGGAATATTTGTCTTCCTGTGTATTCTTTGAGCATCCGATAGATACGTGTCAATGTATTTCTCAAAAAGAGATCCATGATTTTCTCCATTTCCGTCAGGAAATTCGGGTGGCAATGGGATGTCCAAGCCCAATTGACGACGCGTCGAACATATGTGTGTCAAATAGTTTTTTGAGTAAAAGTTCTCGTGTCAGACGAAGACGCTGCAAGAGAGAAAAAGCAAGTAGACAACACATCTCCCTATGCACTCGAAATCAACTCTATAGTATTCGTGAAATGACAGCTATAGGAGATCAAGATAAGCTATAAATAAATGGCGCTACATCTTGAGGGTGAGGGTGTGAGTCAAGCACATTGTAAAAAAAAGGAGTTTTTCCAAACGAAAAAAGGATCTTCCCTCCGATACCCGGAACGATCCTTTTTTGGTTAAGTAAAATGAAGGTTCCGAAGAGAACCTTACAGGAAAAACTGAGAACAAAGGTTCCACAGCAAAGCTTTAGTGCGAAACTTTTTTTCTTCAAAAGACAGAAGGTTCCGTATCATAGGTACTGTACGGAACCATCTGTAACTATATTAAAAAACGTTTCGTAAAAATCCATAGCTGCGAAACCTTCGTTGCATTAGTTGTTTTCTTGGGTTAGTCACAGACTCCTTTATAGTTATCCTCCTACAGGCCCCGTATTAAGTCACTACAGAATCTAGGGTGTGGGTGGGTGAGGGTGCGGGTGTTCGGAATGAGTGGTACGAAACGTAGTTCACCCATTTCGAACGTCCACACACCTTCACCCACCCTTTGATCGTGACACGAACCTGAGAGTAGGTTCTAGCCAGTCCAGTAGATCCATTGCGATCAACTCTAAACGAGAAAGACGATAGAGTGTGGTTTATTGAATATTATCACTTACCTAGTTGAATGCCAGGCTATTCAGAATTTTCTGTCGATAGATTTGCATCGATATAGTGACGATCAGTAAGAAAAACTAGAAATAAATAGAAAATGAAAAATTGCGTGGATATTTATAGGNTTTTATTCTAATCCACAATCTCGTTTTCCAAATGCAAGTACACTGTAAAAAAAAAGGAGTTTTACCAAACCAAAAAAGGATCTTCCCACCGATACACGGGACGATCCTTTTTTGGTTAAGTAAAATGAAGGTTCCGAACAGAACCTTACAGGAAAAACTGAGAACAAAGGTTCCGCAGCAAAGATTTAGTACGAAACTTTTTTTCTTCAAAAGACAGAAGGTTCTGTATCATAGGTACCGTACGGAACCATCTGTAACTATATTAAAAAAGGTTTCGTAAAAATCCATAGCTGCAAAACCTTCGTTGCATTAGTTGTTCTCTTGGGTTAGTCACAGACTGCTATATAGTTATCCTCCTACAGGCCCCGTATTCAGTCACTACAGAATATAGGGTGTGGGTGGGCGAGGCTGCGGGTGTTCGGAATGAGTCGTACGAAACGTAGTTCACCCATTTCGAACGTCCACGCATCTTTACCCACCCTTTGATCGTAACACGAACCTGAGAGTAGGTTCTAGCCAGTCCAGTAGATCCATTGCGATCAACTCTAAACGAGAAAGACGACAGAATATGGTTTATTAGATATTATCACTTACCTAGTTGAATACCAGGCTATTGAAAACTTTCCGTCCATAGATTTGCATCGATATAGTGACGACCAGTGAGAAAAACTAGAAATAAATAGAAAATGAAAATTGCTTGGATATTTATAGGGTCTCACCGGACGGTCTATTGAAAACTGGACGTCCGCTAAGATCAATAGACATAAGTGACGACTAGTAAGAGAGACTAGAAATAAATAGAAAATTAAAATTGCTTGGATATTTATAGGGTCTCACCGGACGGTCTATTGCAAACTGCACGTCGGCCGAGGTCAATAGACATAAGTGACGACTAGTGAGAAATACTAGAAATAAATAGAAAATGAAAAATGCATGGGTATTTATAGGATCTCACCAGACAATCTATTGCAAACTGCACGTCCGCCGAGATCAATAGACATAAGTGACGACTAGTAAGAGAGACTAGAAATAAATAGAAAATGAAAATTGCATGGATATTTATAGGGTCTCACCGGACGGTCTATTGAAAACTGGACGTCGGCTTGTGTAAAGGGCTGTCTTTCAATGAGTCTTCTCCTTTTCCTAACTGAACCAATGGTAGATATCAATGGTTTGGTAGAGGTTTCGCCGAACAGGAACAATAATTATGAGATCATTAATTCTTTTGCGGAACTTATACGCAACTACTGACCAAGAAAAAAAAAAATTTTTGTATACGAGTAGGTTATGGGAAACCTTGAGCCGCTATACGAAAGTAGGGATAGTTTGGTACAAATACTGCCAAGCCTTCATTCATTCGACGGAGTAGATAATGATTTCCGAAAGTTTATACTGAAGTAATCANACTTTTTAAATCTCCTATCCAGTTTTGAAGACCCCACCTAGGTCTACAACCTGCCATAGAAGAAAACTTGGGACGCACACGAGCCGCTTCACAGTTTGCCAATCTTTTACACAAAAAATGAGTTTTGCGAACTCCACTTCCGAGACCTAATTTTTTCTAAATATCTCGCGAATGGTTCATCCAAGAGGTTTGAAGCTTTCAGGATTGATAGATGTCAAGGAACAAAGGAAAATATGCGCGAGAATTGAGGCTTCACAATGCCTGGATCTGAGCATTAACTGAATTCTATTAGATAAGAACTATTCTGGTCGTTTCTTCTTCTATATTTTTCTTTGCGTTTAATTCGATCGAACTGAAGTTTTTTCCATAAATAGTTGTTGAGCCTAGAGCCTGTGTGGCAGACTTTATCATTACTATATAATGTGAAAGCAGTAGAACTATAAACCTGTTCGAAACCAAAGGGAAGCATTCTGCTATAGCCCTGTATATTATATATATATATATATATAATATTTGGTGGAACTGATTTGTTTCCGAAATTAACTTGGCCTTATATGTTTGCCAGAATCATTTCATTTTTTACTAAGAATCAGTCTGTCTGTATTGTTATTGTTGTTGTCTATATTATGAGTTATTCACGTAATCCCTTCTCTATTGTGCAACAATTGAGATTATACAATTCAAATTTATCTTTTCGAATAGTTTGTACAACAATCAGTTTATGAGTTAAAAAAAGTACACTTTTCTTCATTTATTTTTTACTTTTGTACTTTTTCGTCTTCTAATACAGTCTTACTCGATGCATTATGAACTATACAACCTTTGATATCTCATTGTAGTGCAAAAGAAAAGAAGAACAAATTCATTAACAACGGTTGAGTGATCGTCTTTCTTCTTCTTTTGAGTGCACTTGAATATTATGTATATTTTGTTGTTCTGTCCAGTTCATTTATTCATACTTCAATGAAGCGTCGTACTGTTATATTACGCAAAACCACACAACTTTTAATATTAAGAGGCACCTATTAATATTGTCTTGCAACAAGATAACTTAACAGTCAACTCGAGAATAACAATAGTTGAACAATATAAATTTTGTTATTTACCATTGATCCGTTAACAGAATCAATATAGAATCTATGTTGCAGAACAATCAAAAATCAATAAGTTTTTGTTCTGAAAAACCGAAGACATTCAATCTATACTTTCAGTAAAGTTGTGGCTTTTTCTCTTGTATCTGCTCTTTCTTCAGAACTATTGGTCTTTTCATGCATCATTTACTATCGCCGTATTAGGGATCAGACCGAAAAACTTTCGGAATTCTCCAATATTTCAAACTTCCCTGGTTGGAAAAAAGATTCCCAAAAGGGGAAAACTAACTGAAAATGCTGGAAAAATAGTCACTATTTATGGAAAAAACTTCAGTTCGATCGAATTAAACGCAAAGAAAAATATAGAAGAAGAAACGACCAGAATAGTTCTTATCCAATAGAATTCAGTTAATGCTCAGATCCAGGCATTGTGAAACCTCAATTCTGGCGCATATTTTCCTTTGTTCCTTGACATCTATCAATCCTGAAAGTTTCAAACCTCTTGGATGAACCATTCGCGAGATATTGAGAAAAAATTAGGTCTTGAAAATGGAGTTCGCAAAACTCATTTTTTCTGTAAAAGATTGGCAAATTGTGAAGCGGCTCGTGTGCGTCCCAAGTTTTCTTCTATGGCAGGTTGTAGACCTAGGTGGGGTCTTCAAAGCTGGATAGGAGATTTAAAAAGTTAGGTGATTTCCTGGGAGAAAACTGAGGTCGAAAATCGTTATTTTTGAAAAATTTCATTTTTGTTTCACTTGTTCTACACGAATGCTTTGCTCTAAAGGGCTGAAATTTATAGGATATATAGATGGTACTAGGATGTACTTGTCCTGAAAATTTCAGACCTCTATCATCCCACAATCAGGAGATATAAGGGTCGAAAGTTGTTAAAAGCAGTCATTTTTTCGTAAATTGTGAGATCCATAAAATACCAACCATCCAATCATTTCAGTTGAAATTTACAGCACATGTAGAACTTACCTGGATGTTGATGTACGAAAAATTTCAGCTCAAACGATTGATGTTTTCTTGACTTTTCAGAGTGTTCAAAATCGTTCCTTGAAAAAGTCAATTTTATAGTGCTTTCAGTAAAACTGCTATAACAACCGAACGATTCAATATTTTTTTAATCGGTTTTCACCAAAACACATCAAACACTTGCCCCTATCACATATGCGAAAATGAGCCAAATTGCCGAATGACCTTTGAGCGCTGTCATAAGAAATCGGCTGCGGCTTATATGGAATGGCTCATATGACACTTACTTGAATACGATGAAATAGCATAGAAAAATTCAGTTTCATTTTCTCTGTCTTTCTGCGAAAAGAAAATTTTTTTAACCATTCAATAAGAAAATAAGGTAGTGACGACATTACTTTTGGATACACCTAAGTAGTTTTTCCATTTTGAATAGTTACGGACTATGAGAAATCTGGGGGAAAAGTTCTGACAAATACAATAGCTGTATTGTTTTAACAACAGAACTTTTCTTAGAAATTGAGTAGAATCATTTCACATACAGAAAGTTTTCTTTATAAGATTATATCATCCAATTTTCATAGGTTCAAAGTGATTCGAATTATTTCTTGATAAATCGGAATCGATTTACATTAGAAAAGTCAAATCTGTTAGGCAGCTCAAATAACCATAGAATCCGAAAGAAAGACGATTCTATTTCAAAGCCCAAAGATATAATAATATAAGGCAGAAATATCATTTATTTATGTCCACACTGAGCTCTTTAATTTTTTAAATAATTTGTCGTTAGGTAGTACTTCATATTCTTATAAGTACAAGTAACGCGGCGCTGCAGCCGCTGGTCCTCTACTGAAATAAAATTATAAGATCTCTCATATTTCTCAAACGAAAGAAATAAGAATTACGGCATTGAAATGATCCAATCATCTAATAATTTGTCTCAATCTTTTACTCGTACTCATTTTGCTTCCTCAACTCTTATCAGACTAACGTCTAGGCGTTGGTCGGTCACTCACAGCTAGTCGTTCCCACAACTGTCGCCGTTATGCCTTTCACTTTTGATTAACTTCGAAAGTGAATAACTACGTTTCTTTTCATTGTTGCTTCCGAATTGGTGATCTTCCATTCATTTCGTTACCAAACGAAACTACATAGAAAGTTTTATTTTTATGATCTACCCTGAAAAAAACGCACATCGTAGTGCTTCATATGTTTAGAATACCATTTGTATAGTCGATATTTCTGCAACTAGCAAGGTGAAGTTACCCTGACGGGCACATCTTTTTGTCACATATTTCTCGCTAACATCCTATCGAAAAATCTGGCGTGTCGCACTTAACAAAGCAATAATGACATTAAGCTCATACCACTTGTTCTGATTTCTTGAGCTATAACTATCATAATGTAAGACATACTAAATCTTTTTGTGTATACTCCTAAACTACTACTTTCGCACACATCACACCCAGGACTACTGTTCAATCCACTACTTTCTATAAAAGATTCTAGCAAAGATACAGAAAAATATCTCTTTTGGGAAGAGAAAGGAAGAAGCCGAAACTTTATGAATAGGAAAGAACCACCCTCAAATTCGTGGTCTTCAACCCTCAAAACTCTTTGAACAAATTTTCTCAGTCAACAGTATAAAGTACGTGAACGGACGAACAAACTTTACCTCAAATTCTGTGTATACCCTCCTTTAAGTAGAAGGAGAAACGGTTCCTTTGGTCGTCATGTTCTCCAATAGATTATCTTTTCTATTAAATTCCTGAATAAGCTTCTTCTCTTTCTTTTATATCAGCTACTCTTGCCATAGCGTTCTTTTCAAAGTCTTCGCTTTCTCGCAATAAGTATTTCGAAATAAAAGATTTTTTTCGAAGAAGTTCATTGCGAAAGCAAAATCAAACTGCATACTGTTGTGTCTCTGATCGAATT